AATCTGTTGTAGATTTTAAAGCCCATCTGGAAGCTCTCTTTATGACATCTGCACAAATGATGCTTACCAACCTGCTTAGCTGTCTTGTTTGCAAATGCATTTTCTCCTGAGGTTAGTAGATTAAGCAAAAGGCAGAAAATAGGATGGAGAGGCACAGCCCTGACTGAACTTATGACCTTAGCTGAGCACTTTGGAAGGACCTTAGAACAAGACTGTATGTGAAGAAAACCCCCAAGTTAGTAGCCTCACAGCAGCAATAGCTCCAAGGCAGGAAACCTAAAATAACACACGGGTCTCCCCTCAGCCCTTTATACCCTCCTCGAGGCCCAGCATCAAAACACTGGCTCAGAAACTGGTGTCTCGTTTGCTGGGACACTGGAAAAAAGATTGCCCTCAAAAGTTGTGTGCAAATCCTTTGACACCAACACAAGTAGCTCCATGTCTATACTTGAAGTAGGAGCCCCTAAAGGCCCCTTCTTGGGGTGATGGGACTCTCCACTAAATTATACAAGTTATTCCCTTAAACAGCTAAGGGGAAGCTAAAGTGAAGATTCATGGACAACCTTGCCCAATTCTGGATAATGGAGCTACACTGTCTAAAACTCTACTTTCTTTTTTCTTTTTTAAAAGATTTATTTATTCATACAGAATTGGGGTACAGGTCAGAGTTGCAGGGGGCGGTGAGAGGCTTCACCAGAAACACAGTGGGGAGCAGAACAGGCAAATCAATGAAGTACACTGCTGAGGGGAGCAGCAGGCGGGTCAGGAGAGGTCTGCCCCGCCATGTGGGTCACCTCCAGGGCGGGGATCCAACTTGCACTGAAGCGGCTTTGCAGTGCTGTGTCTTAACCTGCTGTGCCACCAGGGCACTGTCTCAGAGTAATAAAAGACATCTCTGTAGTGGGGAGATAAAATTCAGAGTGATATTTTGTTTCAAGAATACAACTGACTCTGGGATCTTTCATTTTGCTGTGAGATCTAATTCCAGCCAATCCATTGGGTAGAGACCTCTTTACTAAGTTAAAAATGGCTTATACATTTTGCCCCAAATGGAGCCCTCACCTGAGAATTTTCTGGTCAATGTGAACCTAATTTCTGTGTTCCTTAAAATCTGAGTTTAATATAGAAGAGGAAAAATTCCAGCAAAAGACCCCTAATTCAATCAAGGTGCCCAGATATCTGCAGGTGACCTCTGATACTGACATGGGAGCGTAGTAAGTGCAGAACCTACAAAAGTTCATATAGACATAACTAATCCTTTCCCGAATTATCTCTATTTTAAAATTAAAAGCCATACAAACGCTCACATCAATACTAGGAAACCTAGCCCCTCCCTGGTGGTGCAGCGGATTAAAGTACAGCACTGAGAAGCTAAAGCCACTTCCGCATGAGTTTGATCCCCACCCGCCCCGGAGGTGACCACATGGCGCCGCAGACCTCTCCTGACTGCCTGCTGCTCCCCTCAGCAGTGTATTTTGTTGATCTGCCTGTTCTGCACCTCACTTTGTCTCTGGTGAATCCTCTCACTGCCCCTGCACCGCTAGCCTGTATCCCAGTTCTGTATACACAAATAAATAAATCTTAAAAAAAAAAATACTAGGAAACCTAATTGCCCAAGAGTGAATTATTTCCTGTACCTGTCCCTATAACATGTCAAGCTTGCCAGTCTGAAAACCTAACAGGTTATGCTAGTGATTTGTCCGAAACTTGAGCGGTGTAAGCAAGATAGTTGTTGAATACCCTTTTATCACAGGTTCTACCAAACTGGTTCTCTGCCAGGGCTCTATGTTGAGCCTTCAGCATGCTTGTAGGCCCCCAAGTCCACCCATTTGTCTTCACTTGGAATGGGCAAAAATATGCCGAGCTAGTCATACTGGAAGGGTTCCTGAGGTTCCTTTTCATCTCTCTCAAGTGCTAAAAGTGATTGCGCTCTTGGGCAGCACCTCTGGACCAAGCCAGAAGATATTACATTGGTTGAGGGTTTTGGGGTTTAAGTAAAGCTGGATGGCTGGGAGCTCTCGTGGCAGAGAGGTTGGGGTGGTTACCTTATTTGGGGTTGTTTGTCTCCTTATTTGCCCAATGGTCTTTGGTGCCAGGTGGCTGTATCCGGAGTTGTTTTTTCTCTTTTGGTGTAGCAAAGTTTCCCGGAACTAGGGGCACTGGAGTTTCCTGGAACACCCCCGGGCAGAGGGATTTCCTGGAACACCCCAGGTGTGGAGTTTAACCTAATAAAGAGTTCCCCAGACCTTCCACCAAACAAGAAGTTTGTAGTTTCCTAAGCCTGACTGGATATTGTAGACTATGGCCTCCTAATTTTTCTTTCTTTTTCTCTACTCTATAAACTAGCTAAGAATTCAGTCCCTGAACCCTCCTGTTATATGGCACAAAGGAAACTTGGACACCAGGGCTATCAAGAAGCAGATTTAATGCTCCCATGCAGACTTGGCAGATTCACATCCCAAGGCTGAACCCCATCTGTAGGAAGCCAGGGGCTTAAATACACTTTCAGTTTCTACAAGGTTTCAGATGCATTTGCATTGGCTGTTGTATATAAGTATGACGTGGCTACATACCAAGAGGTGAGATGCATATCAAGGAGTGAGTTAAGGGTCAGTAGTCATGGAACCCCCTATGTCCTTTCTGCCTTTGGCTTTATGAAGCAAGATTCATATCAGGGAAAAGTTGCATACGAGGAACTGAACAAAAGGTTGTTAGTAAGATCCCCAGGCTGCTTATCTCAGGTTACCAAGCTTCACTTCTTCCCGAAGATAAACATGAGTCCTGCCCTCCAGCTGTCTATTCAAGGTTCTTCACCTTATTTGTGCATGAGGGAGTTTAAGTCCTGGTCATGCTAACAAAAGAATATGGTGATAAGCCTAGGCCTGTTGCATATAACTTGACTTAGTTGCTTGTGCTTCACCTTACCTATCTTGTAGCTGTGAACTCGAATTGTTAGCAGATTTATCCTTGGGAAGAGACACTTATTTGCAAAGTCCATATGCTATTTCAGGTTGTCTTCTTTCTGAATTGACTCAACATAATTCCTTTTTTATAACTTCCGTTTTCCTACTCCTCTGCTATAAGGTCTTTCTTTGTGTCTCACTTCAGAAATCCTTTGTACAATTTGATGCTGGCCCTGTTAGAAATAGAGGCTAGTGAAAGAGATCAAAGATGTAAGGTGAGATAGTAAAGCAAGAGTTTATTGCGCCCTCAGGCAAACGCCAGAGGACAAAGTGGAGTCCAGCCCTAGGGAAGGGGGTTGCGAATTTTATAGGCGCAGAGGGGCAAAGACTCAAGACTGCACCAGTTTCAAAAACAGGATGCTTAGGCCAGGATGCTCAGTTTCTATAACAGGATGTTTTCCAGGGTGATTTTCTTCTTTGCAGTTGCTGAATTTGCAAGATTTGTTTCCACCTGTATTTTCCCCCTGTCTTGTCTGCCCACCTTTGGTTGGGGCCAGCTAGGCCCCTTCCTCTGACCTAACAGTCCCTTCATGAATCACTGAATAAAAGTTACATAACATTTACTCAGTTGAATTTCTTGAACAGGAGAAAATAGCTGGAGGTCACTGGAAAGCAAATTTTTTGTTTTGCCTTTGGGCGGGGAAGGAGCCTACCACCTGAAAGAATTGGTAAAGAGGAGAGCCAGGCAAAGATTTTGACCAGCAGGACCTTTACTGTTCTCACCGAGGTTCACCGGCCTCCCACAGAGGTCAGAGAAGGGCAAGCTTTTATAGGGCGGGGCCCCTGGCTTTGGCGGGAAGTTAAGAATGTGGAACCGAGGCCTTTGTTTTCCAAACTGTCCTGTAAGCCGGGTAGAGTTGGTTCCCGGAAAGCAGGCGGCAGCAGTTTCAAGCTCCCTTTTCCAGCCTCAGCCTTGCCCTGTCTTGGACCTTACATCCCCTACCTGATGATAGAGGAAGGGCTCTTGCTGGAGACCAACCGCCCTTCGGACTGGTTACCCTCCTTTTCCTTAAGGAACTCACAGGACCAATCTTAGAGAAGAGTGCGCTATTGGACGGTTGCCAGGCAGGACACCAAAGCAGGTGGGCTGGTACCCAGGAAATTTTATATGGAAGCGTCATAGCTCAGGACAGCAGGTGCAGAAAGTAGATAAGGAAGTGAAGGCCCAGGCAACGCTTAACTTGCACAAACAGGGTGCTGGTGAAGTCCCTGTGGTTGTGACAGCTGCCTCTTCCTGCCTGGATGCCTGCAGGCAACCTAACGGTCAGGGCGGCGTCCACGAGGCCCCTTCCCTGCCCGAACTGGCATTGCACCCCCTAGGCAGAACAGGTCAGCGGGAGCTGTTTTGAAGCCCTGCCTCTGGATCCTATTCCCTGCGGGAGGGAGGCTCCCAGGGTAGCCCAACGCACAAATAGGGAGAGTGGTGGAAAAACTGGCAGGGCTGGTGAAAGTGCCGCCGGCCTAGTCGCCGCCGTCCAGAGTGCAGCGCGGGGGCTGGGAGAGGTGGGGCTGGGGGGCTTCAGTACCGACGGGGCTTGGCTCATAGACCCCACAGCACAGCTTCCAATCGGGGAAAAGGCGAGATGTTGGCCCTCCCAGTTTCCTAGAGAGACCTCCGCGGCCTGGGCGGCGACGCGCGTGCGCGACCTGGACCGGCGGAGAGACCGGCGGCCGCGGACGGCCGCTGTGGCGAGGTGTCCGGCGATGTCCGCCAAGAGGTGGAGGCGGTGCTGCCCAGTGAGCCTGCCTGGGGCCGGGCAGCGGTCACCTTCGAGATGCGGCGTCTCATCAGCCAGGGGTCGCCGCGGCGG